TTTTTTCCCCAATACATTAAATCTCATTTTCGCAGCATTTTCATTTTTCCCCCCTACCCCTTGGTGTCTTCCAAGCATAATTTTTTGTCTTCTTCCTTTTAATTTCTTCTTCTGGAATTTTAATTTTTCTCACATCAATTCATGTATGCTAAACACAATTGCAATTGCTCTATTTGTCTGAATGCCCTTCTTCCCTCTAGAACTTTGAAATAGATCTCTTGTCATTATGTGCAAGGATTCCTTTATCAGATTTCATTCTTTGGGCTGAGATTTCTTATCATTATGTTATCTTTCATCACTGCTGGCCTTATCCATTCTGCTGACCAAAATTGCTTTTTCATGCTTTGCAATAAGTGTCATGATATGGCTAGAGATTCACGAAAGATTTATAAATAATTTCCTAAGACTCTTAGCAGAGTATTTGGGAAGGGCAATGGTTACGTGAAGGTTAGTAACGGTGGTTGAGAGACTTATCCGAAGGTTCATAACCTTAAGCTCCCGTTTGGTACGAAGCATTGAAAATGAGGGATTGAGATTGTAATTGTAATTGAAAAAAATCATTAAAATAGTACTTAGTATAAGTAATTGTTTGTTATATAGGATTAGGCAAACCCATAAAGGTGGAATTGGGGAGCCATGTATGTGGGATTGGGGAATACCACTTCCCCCCATACATGGCTTTGGCTAATCCATGTATTCTCCAATCCCACATACATGGCTTTGGCTAATCCCATATATCAAACAATCTCTTATACTAAATACTCTCCTAATAGATTTTCTCAATTGTAATCTCAATCCCAATCCCTCATTTTCAGTATTTCCTACCAAACACAACCTAAGGGTAAACGAGGTGGCTTTGGCTGAATTTGGGTGTATTTGGGGTAAGGGCGTTGGAGCCAAATTCCTTTCTGGTACTCTGTTTCGGTTATACTAATAAAACTCAAATTATCGCACTTGCTGGCTGTTTGTGCTATATTTGTTATCATCATGTTGACAGAGAGTTGCATGTCCTAACTCCTAACGTGTTGATTCGCTTGACTTCAATAGAAACCTGACTCTTGGTTTATTAGTGATACATTCTTTAGATATTCTGTGTTTTGATCACTGTACATATGATTATAGCATTTGCTACTTTTATTCTATATTGATCATTCAAACAAATGGGACTAAGTGAGCTACTTGCTAGCCCTGAACGATGTTCTCACTATGTGGTCTTGTGAAATGTACCACTAGAGGCAATTTAGTAACTGAGTTATTGTTTGGTAGTTCATCAAGTTATTTGCAAGTTTTCCAGCGATCACATTTGGATCGGTTTCAATGTCTTGGCTCTGCTTGGCCTTGAGATGGAAATTTCAAAACACAGATGTTGTATGAAATTAGATGTGGTAGAATTTTCAGCGGAAACAGGAGAATCTAGTTAACATTTCCATTCTGACTGGGAATATAGAACGAAGCTTTTGCAAGTTCATATTTTAGATTCTCTTCTTTTTATGGCCTAACATTTTAGATTCTTAGAAGGGTTAATATAATTTTTTGTCTCTCAAGCTTGCTTTTATTTTAATTAGGGTCCTTCAAAATTTTTTTTTATTTAAAATATTAGTCCTTACAATTCAATAAAAATAAAAACTATCTTACTCTCTGAGAATCAAAACTTATGATTTGAAATTTAAAAAACGAAAAATTATATTAAAATTTTTTAGAATTATGCAAGACTTTGTCCTTTTCAATAAGTTTGGTCTCTCAAAAATCATGACAGAAATGCTTGCTTACTATATTCTTTTACAAGGTTTGAGCAGTGAATGAGATGAATTCATTGACATGCTTCCTATCTTCCATAATTTTGCAAAGTGTTATTGAAATATAAATTTTATCATATATTATAAAATAGTGAATAAGAGAGTTGAGAGTGCTAAATTTGTAGACTTTGAGGAAGATTGTCTGCGAAATGCTTTCTTTTCTGTTTTTTTTTTTTTTCTCCTCACTATCATTAGAAGTCTGTAAAGTGTAACAGGAGCACCGCGATTCAAAAACTCGAAATTCCTTTTGTGATTTTATACTATGAAGTGAATTAATGTATAACAAACTAATGTCATTGGACTTCATATAGTAAGTCAAATTCTTTATGGGGAACACTTGGGATCGCGTGCAACCCAATTTCGTAAGTGAATGACCTTGTGTGGGTCCTTTGGATGCAACTCTCTCTGACTTCTCTATTCATAGTCTCTATGGTGGCCCAGAGTCTAACAACTAAGAGGCACGGATTAGACTACTTAAACACTCTAAACTTGTTTTCCTTACCTTTACAAGATTGGATTATGTGGAATGCTAAAAATAAAGTTAGAGCAGCATGCCTGAGCCAACTTCATCTTTATTATGAGGAAAGTGTGCAAGCGAGAGGCATAGCCTTCTCTTGCACACAAAAGGGTCATTGATGACCTCAAATTGGATGAATGTTACAACTTTAAATAAAAAAGTTAATTAATCCGCAAGTTCTTATAGTCTTAACTAATTTTAAATCAAATTTTTATAGTTTTTTTTTTTATCAGATCCTTATACTTTCACTTGTTTTTAATTAAATCCTTGCACTTATTTTTCTTTTTATTAAGTCCTTATAATTTTACTAAGTTTTTAATAAAGTCCACGTAGTTTTAATTTTTATTTATTAATTAAATATAAACTTAATTAAATAGATTAATAATGAAATATAAAATATTAATAATTAAATTAAATTAATAATTATATAATAAAAATAAGTAATATAAATAATTAATTCAGGAAAATTTTTCAGAACATTTAATTTTTTTTGTTGAAAAAAATTATTATAACAATTCATTATTTTTAGAATATTATTTTTTATAAACTAATATTAAATAATATATACTATTTTATGTTTATAGAACAATACTATTAGAATTTATGAAATAAAGAATAAAAAATTTAGGGACTTAATTAAAAATAAGGTAAACTTATAAGGACTTGATAAAAAGAAAAACAAATACAAGGATCTAATTAAAAATAGGTGAAAGTATAAGGACTTGATAAAAAAGAAAAAAAACTATAAGGACCTGATTCAAAATTGATTAAAAATAAAGACTTTCCAGATTAATTAACCCTAAATAAAATGAACATATGTCAACAATGGGATAGCTCCATGTGAAGATATTACATGAGATGAAAATGACAACTGAAAAAAAAAAAAGAATTTTATGGAAGAATGGGTTGCCAAATCAAATGCGATTTTGAATTCATGAGTATTTCAGAAGGTTTTCAATTATGTTGGGATTAGAATCCCACAAAAGTGAACGTTTATATAATGATTCATTGGCGGCACTTAGCCTCTTACTAGAATTATGAGATATATGAAAGATTTGATCATATATAATTAGTTCGTCACTTTTAACTTTGCTTTTGAGGAAACAAATAAATGTATTGACTGATTTGCTAGTCATGTCTATTATTTCAAAGTCTCCATCATCAAAGTGTAGGGATTTTTTAATTGAAGATTTATATCGGTCTTTCCTCCCCTGGCTTTCTTTTCATGGCCTCGTGTATTGAAAAATAATGACAAAGATGGTATTACTTCCTATCCTAGTTATGAAAACCAATTGACTAATTTAAACAAATTAAGAAAAGAAATTAAGTTAGTCAATTGTAATAAATAGATATTATCTTTTCTAAAATATCTTTACTAATCAAGTGTGTTTACTAGAACTGTTATAGTTAGAAAGACTATTTTAAAAAATATATATAAATATGAGAGAAAAAATAAATTGGGATCCTATATTTAGGATCAAAATAGAAATCAAATAAGATCTTATATTAAAAATTAGAAGTAGTATCAATAATATGTCAAATATCAAAATGCTCCTAAAGAATGCGGTTCAATCTGCTATATCCTATCCATCCATACATCTATATCTGTATTCGATAAACTGCAAAAGTAGAGTATCCAGCGTCCCAGTTGGTGACACGTGTCCAATCACACTACAAACGGATGCTCCAGCCGCCAATCAACCCGATATTTTAAACCCAGAATCAACTAAGCCGAAATTAGCAAATTTAACTCAGTCAAGTTTTTAAATTATTATTATTATATCATGTGACTATTATATAATACTACATCATATCTTTAATATATAAGACTCAATGATATTAGTAAAGCTAAATAATAACTTATCTATAGCATATATTATATGATTTTGTTTTGAAATACTTATATGAATTATTAGATTATATATTAGCTTACAAGTTTGGTAAATTGGTTTGAAAAAAATAATAAATATAAATATGTAAAGTAAATTATCTAGCTTCCTTAATCTCTTACTCAGCTTAGTCTTATATTAAGTATTAGAGTAGTACATAATATAATATACTTGTCTAATCCTAAATACAAGATCTAATTAACTAATTTGAGTATATTAGTGATATTAGTTAAATTAGTAACGAGACATTTTTTTTTTCCTAAAATACTCTAAACATCTTTCTTAATTTTTTCATTGATTTTTCTACTTGATTATTGTTAGAAAATAATGATAGGATTAATTTAACAAAAGATTGATATAGATATGAAATAGAGTGCATGTTATAATGCATATGTATTCGGGATTCTTTTAGGCTATAACCTAATCGTATTTAAGTGTCGGTTATTTAACTTCTCATACAGTAAGGACTCAAGACACTTAAATTAATTAATAAATGACATTTGAAGCTAAAATCATTTTTATGATTTTACATTAGTAATTTTCGGCCCTGATTTCGGATTAATATGGAATTTAATTAAAAATTGAATTTAAAGCAATTTAAAAAATGGTTCTACGTATTTATTTAATCATATACCTTAGTCTGTTTAGTTTTCGACCAGTTTTTCCTGTTATTCATATGAGCCGGAAAATCAATTAACTTCAAAATACCTAACAATGCAGCTGAAAGTCCAGTTAATTACGCAGCAATTCCTCTGAGAGATGTGTTCTAATCAGGCGAGAGCTATGAAGCAGATAATAATGGAAGGCGACGACCCATATCTTCCCCCAGAAATCATCAGAAACATTCTCAAACGACTCCCGGTAAAACACCTAATTCGATTGCAATGTGTCTGCAAAGATTGGAAATATCTCTTAAAGTTACCATCTTTCATCGAAGAACACCTCCACCACTCCACCCATCAAAACCCTTCTATTCTTGTCGACGGCCTTTCCCCAACTGATATTTTGCAATTATATTTGCTCGATACTGAGATGCAACTCCTTGAAGTTCATAGTGCAAGTCTGATTGATCTCCTGCGGGATGCTACGATCGTCGATTCCAGCAATGGCTTGCTCTGTGTCAGACTCAGTTGTTCATCTCATCCCATCTTATTGTGGAATCCAGCAATGAGGCGGGTCAGAGTAGTGGCTAAAGCTACTAATTGTTTTGAGGATAAGTATTACAAGTTGGGATTTGGATTCTGTTCAATTGTTAATGATTACAAGATTTTAAGAATTAGTGCTTCTAATGCGCAGGACTGGCAAGGGGAAGTTTATTCAGTAAAGACTGGGCTATGGAAGAAAGTAGAATGTGGTACCTTTGATGGTGTATCTATTTGGTGTAGCAGTGTTGTTGCTAATGGAAACATCTTCTGGTTTGGATTTAAGCCAAATGGGGAGAGCAGAGTTCATTTGTTAGTCTCATATAACTTGGCACTAGAAGTGTTTACGTTGATACCATCACCTATTTCATTTCTTAAACCAATAGATTTACTTCTCTCCAGGCTTACTGTTTATGAGAATAAACTTGCTATACTTTCTCACTATACCATTGACTTTGAATCTTCTGTGATTGATTTGTGGGTAATGGAGGAGGAAACGGGTACATCTGACGAAAGATGGGATTGGACTAAGAAATATAGCATCAGCCACCCTTGTTGGTTAGTTCCAAGGACTATTTGGAGGAATAATTTAGTCTGCTATCTTGATATAGTGGCGTTTAGACGAATTAGTGCAAATGATGGAAAAAATATTGTTTTGGTCAATCTAACTACTAATGAATTTAAGATAGTTGTTATCCATAAATGTGGCATCGGTTATCCTGTTTTGAACTACGTGGAAAGTCTTGTGCCAGTTGAAAATGACTACACTGAAGAACTTTGATACTAAATCTTGATTATCACATTGTATATTTGCTTTAAGTTGTTTTGCTGGAAAAGAATCTATAATAGTTCATATTAGTTTGTTCCTGTAATGCTTGATGTCCTTTAGAGATTGTATCTTGAATGGTAAATGACTAAGGGAACGTTTGAATAGAACCAAACTATGATTCTAGAAGTGATTTTATTGTGTATATGAAATAAATATGTAAAGAAATTTATTTCAATTTATAAAAAAATACTTTTAAAAAGTATCTCTCCTCATTCCCAAAATATTCTGTGCCATATGTTTGCAGCTTTATGCGACGTACCGATCTAAAATAAATATAGAGTTCAGTTTTCTTTCAAAGATGGAGATATAATTTGGTTTGTGGATCGAACTAGTTTTCCGCCTACCAACACATCTGCTTTTTCATTCCATTCAATCTTATTCTCATACCCTTTTCATTTCTTTTTCCTTGACAACACAAATTTTTGTGTTCAGTGTTTCAATTTCTTCTTCTAGACATTTAATTTTTTTCCTCTCATCATTCGATGGTTTAGACAAGCATGGAATGGGCAGCGTTAGGAGTGTTTAATGAATAATGATAGCTTTCTGGGGATATAGTGCCTCCCTTGCAACTGGAGGATGGGGATTTCTGTAATTATTAAAAACTGTAATTATTTAGAAGGATTGAATATTAAAATATAAATTTAAAAATATTACGATATTCCTACCTAAACTCGTATATTCTCTAAAACCACATTCTATAATTTTCTCCTAATTTTATGAAATAATCAAGATTCATTCATGTTAACTCTTGTTACTTTTTAATTGATAAGACCCTTTTCTTTCGGGCTTCGTGAATAATGAGCAAATCAAAAATTACGTACGAAAAATGATACCAGAGTCCCACAGGCCGAACACGTGTCAACATGTAGCCAGCGACATAAATATATGAAGTCGTAACATGAAATAATTGCTCCTATCTTTTTTTTTTATTCCAATAAGTTGTGGCTATGTTATATATAATCTATTATTATATTACTTTTTTAAATTTATAATTATATTAACTCAGAGGATTCAATTTAGTTTTAAGGATTGCTATTATGATAGCATGAATAAAATAAGAGTGTGAAAAAATGATTTTGATGAGACTCATTATTGAGAAAGCCTAAAAGAAAAAAAATTATTGATAAAAAATGATTAAAAAAATAAATTAATTAGTGTTGGTTATTAATTTAATTAATTAGAATTATTTTTTAGCTTTAAAATTTAAATTAGCTTAAATTAATTCAAGTAAATCTTGATTATTTCATTAAATGATGGAAAAATTATAAAATGTTGTGAGAAAGAAAATTGAATTTTAACTAGGATAATTTAGTATTTTTAAATTTATATTTTAGTATTTAGTCGTTCTAAATAATTATAAATATAAATTATTAACATTTTCAATCAATGCATTTTTAATCAAATTCTTAATTAACTTTTTTTTTCAATTTTGAACTAAAATATAACGGAGCATTAATTTGTTGACTTTCTAAATAAATGTTGTAATTACTGGAAATGAATGATTTTTCGGGAAAGATAGAATAGAAAATCAAAACGGTTAAAAGTTGAAACTTAAGAATGCAAAAATATAATTTAATCTACTCCATAAACTTGAGGCCATTTTTCTTTTGCCAACAAAGTCGTTTGATTCTTTATCAACATCACGCACCTGAAAATATATTTAAAAATGTTAGATATATCAAAATACTGAACACGCTCACTATGAGTGCTCAAAACGCGCGGCATTTTAAGTGCTGAGCACTCCATACTCATCAAGCTGATGAGCACGGAATGCAAACGCGGTCCCATAGACATTTATTCATTAAGCACACAGTCTTGGAAGATGGTAGAATGTGGGAACTAATTAGATGGTGGAGCTATTAAATCCAACGGCAAAACTATCAATGGAGCCATCTTTTGGCTTGGTAATAAGTTATCTGCAGAGGAAGGGGTTGAAAGCCAATTGTTAGTTTCATATGACATGGCAATGGAAGTCTTTGTGTTGCGACCCTTACCTATTTCAACCACTGAGCCTAAGTTGCATGATTCACTTCGCAATAGGCTTGCTGTGCCTGAGAGTAAACTTTCTTTGCTTGCACACGCTACCATTGGAGACAATGAATCTTCTTTGATTGATTTGTGGGTTATCGAGGATGATATAGGGGAACCATTGCAAAGATGGAATTGGATTAAGAAATATAGTTTTACCCACCCATTCCTGTAACTTGCAGCGACTATCTGGAGGAATGAGATTGTCTGCCATTTCTTGCCTCTGAGCCTGAGTGCAACTGAGCCTAAACCGAAGGGTTTAGAAGAAAATATTGTTCTGGTCAATCTCACTACTAATGAAGTTGAGGCTTGTTATCAATAGGTGTGACTATGGTTATGGTTATGATATTTTGAATTATGTGGAAAGCATTGCACCGGTTGGCAACAAAATTGACGATGACACTGCTTTCAAATACTCTTCCGATCCTTAATATATGATCTAATTATTGAGTTGATTTTGGTTTTAAATATAAGACATATTTATTATATTTATGAATTTTTTCTAAATTATGGCTATGGATACTCCCTGAACCATAATCAAGTAGAAGAGAAAGTGAGAATATTAAGGAAGATGATTGTGGTAGTTTAGAAAAAAACATGTCTTATTTTTTATAATTAACTAACTTACCTAACTTCCTTAATCTAATCAAATTAGTTAAATATGTCTTATATTAAGGATTAGATAAGTATAATATAAGGTAGGGTTGGAGAAGTTGGAGATTCACAAAGAGATCTATAAATAATTTCCTGGGACCTACAGCAAAAGATCTGGGAAGGGGAAATGATTTAGTAAAGGCTGACAACTGTGGTGAAGAGGCTTATCCGATGGTTCATAGCTGTAAGAGCAGAGAAGCGATAGACAAGTATGGATGAGGTGCTGCCCAATGTTTAGGCAATGTTTTTTTTTGTTTAGTTACAGATAGCTTTTTTGGGATATAGAACCTCCTTTTCAGCTAGATTTAAGGCTATTGTTCTGTTAATTTTTATCTCATTTATGTCAAGTGTATTTGGGTAAGATTTCTGGCTGGAATTGGCATCCTCTGTTACACCTATTCTGTTCCAGTTACCCCATTTACTTACTGTCTTTATTATTTGTTGTTATTTTGTTGACAAAAAATTGCGGGACCTATCTAGGATTTTAATTACTCAAGTTTCATTGAAACTTGACTCTTGGTTAAATTGTGATGCATTCTTGAGATATTTTGTGTTTTGATTAAATAAAGATTCCTCTATATTTGAGGATACCGCTTGCTACTTTGATTTTATTCCCTGGATCATTATTAATTGCCAGAATCTAGACAAAATCCAGGCTATCAAAACAAGTTTTTCACTTGTGCTAGCACTTTGGATGTGTTGTTCTTGCTGCAGATACTGATAGGAATGGCCTAACTCCATGAATGTGGATGCAGAAGATTCACATACTATGTCACTGTGTTTATGCGTGTGTTAGAGAGCTCGTTGATAAGGTTTTTAACTGGAATACTGAGAAGTGAGAACGAACACAAAAATTTACTCAACAAAGCAAATCCATGCATTTCCATGCGGCTGTGTTGTTCACTCCTATGGCATGTGGTAACGAATAGAAGAGGTGGTGGAGGGACCCACGGCTCAGCCTAAAGTTTTGGCCGGGTCTTTTGGGGGTGTTTGGATAAAAACCAAACTATAATTTTAAAAGTGCTTTTATGATATAAGGGGTAAATATATGGAGGAGTTTGTCTCATTTTACAAAAAAATACTTCTGGGTGTTTCCAAACACCTCCTTAGTGCTTCACCGATGACCAGACTAAACATTCCTAACTTTTTGTATCTCAAGAATCTTCCAAATGTTTGTAACAATTAACTTTACCTTCTTGCGAACAATTGTCTTGTCTTTGTTGAAATCCATTGGGAAAATCATTTTGTAGATACTTATAATTTTTTTTTTCAATTTTTAAATTGGTTTGTGTGTTTTTTCCCCCTTTTAATTCAACATCCTAATTTTACTTTACTAGCACAGTAAGTTTTTGTAACTTTGCTCTGATAACATCGTTACGCTTTATGCAAAAGCTAAGTATATTGGCAAAGCAAACTTATTGTATTTAGTTAGGAAAAACAATGCAGAGGTATCGAATTAAAAATTGAAAAAAATTATAGGTAACTACAAAATGGTTTCCTGAACGTTTTTTAAGAGTAAGGTTTAAAGTTTAAATAATTTTAGGGAAAATTCAAAAACAATGTTATAAAGAAAGGAATAGCAGATACAAATATTTTTAAAATTCAATCTCCCAAGTCCCATCACTCTTACAGGTTTAAAAAAAAAAAAAAAGTCCCATCGCAAGAAACGACGTTGCGTATTTAAATTAGAGATCAGAAATTAGCTAAAAATTACATATTCGCAAGAAACGACGTTGCGTATTTAAATATCTTTATTGATCGCATACCAGCTTATCTATTTAAAAATGTTTGATTGAATTTAGAAAAATTAGAGAAAAGTTCCCGTTGACAAGTTTATTATAGAAAAATTTTCCCCATTTTCTGTGCGTTTTCAAGACATACCTTCTCAGGATACTGGCAAGATTATATAATTATTCAAATGCGAGACGGCCCGCTTCTTCCACAGTCGACTCCGGCAAAAGCAAGCCACCTAAACCCTAATGGCGAACGCTCTGCCTTGAAATATTCATTTTCACCTGACCAGCACTATGGAGCAGATCGTAATGGAAGGCGTGACACCATTTCTTTCTCGGGAAATCATCAAAAACATTCTCAAGCGACTCCCTGTGAAGTCCTTAGTCCGATTTCAATGTGTTTCGAAAGACTGGAAAAATCTCATCAAGAGTACGTCTTTCATTGAAGACCATCTTCTCCATTCCAGCAATCAAATCCCTTCTCTTCTTTTACAGCAAAATTATAAAAAGGATCCTTTGTGTTTATATATGATCGAT